ACTGTTCGTCCGATCGTCCAGGAAGAGGGCGCCCTGCAACTCACCATTTGGACATAATGTCCGCGTTGGATTTATTCTTACTTTCTCTGTGGTCATTTCATTTGGAAAGCAGTCGTATTCACTAGACCATAGAAGCCGTATACGCACACAAGGGCGGATCCAGAAGACAATTTTTTGGGGGGGCCCAAAAAAATTTTGGTCCCCCCAAAGAGTGGGTCAAAAAATTACGGCGTGGGGTTCGGGGCCCGCTTAAGGGCCCCGAAAAAAATTTGGATTCTAGATGCTCTGTGGTGCCATCTGAGGCAATTTCTGACCACTTTAACCAATGTTTTTTTGAGGAAAAGATGGTGGTGTACTCATTGCCTGCCTTTATTGCGACGTCACATAACAAAAAAAAAAAATTGGTTTCGTTTTGGGGGGGGGGGCATGGCCCCCTTTGGCCCCCCCCCCCCCCCCTGGATCCGCCCTTGTACGCACATCGGATCGGAAGTCATTGATTACAGTAAATTAATCCGAAATTTTAAAAAAATCTAACGTTCAGATTGTTCAAGTGTTATATTCGCACCCTCCAAACAATTGTGTAATGTGTCGAGTCTAATTGGAGCCCCCTCAGCGTTTTGCATTCATATAGGCGCAGTAGTAATACTCTGGAAGTTCCACGAACCTTGACTATGTAACTACATATTCTTTTCCTCACCTCTCGTCTGTATTCAACTGGATGCGGATCGATCGATTGCCAGATTGGATGTCATGCATTCCACTTATTCACAGCTTACTTCATGAATGGCGCCCCCATGTGGCGTCCCGTTTGACAATTAAGCTGTATAGTCTTCAGCTGGGCTTCGCTCGTACCCCGCCCTGCAAACAGGATGCTGGGATACGCTGATGAATTCACGCTCTGATTGGATATATTTTGCATGACCTTTGACCGGCGAGTCATCACGGCACGACTCGGCAAGGATTGAAACGGCCGTTGAGACTGAGTCATCACTCTTTTATTCCCATTTATAAATGCTTTATTTTCGTTGAAATGCGTAATAATGTAGGAAAATCTGTAAAACGTATCTGTTTTGTAATTTTCAAATTCTCGTCACTTGCTCAGGCTCGGTTTCGAGTTCACGATGGGTCAGATTGCATACATTGCGATGCTCAAAATTTGTCCACATGGGTCCGCAATGAAACAGAAATCACATCCGGTATGGAATGGAATATGACCCACAAGGTGCTCTAAAGGCAGGATATTTGAAGGCATGCAAATCGTGATTGGCCGGCGTAGGCAAGTTTGGGCTGTAAACCGTGATTCTTCAATACTGTAAACCTTTGGAATTAGAGAAGCTAAAATATTAAATTTGGGGAAACTCTTTTGTACATACCTAAACATTCGCTCGTACCCCAGCGTGAATCTAATTCAAATCCGTTAGGATAAGGCAGTGAAGTACCTAGGATTGTTTTAGTGGGGTGGGGGCACAGGGGGCATCAGAATATCATGGGGGCACATATCGCAAACGTCCCATTGCAGTTTTTCCCAGTTGGGCCCCATAATGCCTCGCTATATCCATTGACATAAGAAATTGTCAACAGTAAACCTTTGGATAACTGAACAATACAACTTACAAAAACCCTTTTTGGTTGGGGAAGGGAAAGGGGCATTATCAGTATTTTGGTGGGGGCACCGGGGGGGGGGGGGGGCACGGATATTGTGTGATAGGCACGTCTCCCCCCCCCCCCCCCCCCTTGGCTACCCCACTGGGATATAAGGCCAGAGATATAATTTTATCGATTGTTTTAAAGACGAGTATTAAAATGAGATTGATATGCAAATGATCCGAAATTATAGCACTAAACCAGAGTGTATAGCCCGCCGCCTGGTGGCTGAAAAGTGCCAATCTTCGATGGTCTTTGGACAATTCCCCTACACAACCACAATCTCAAACAAGGACATCACAGTTTTTCTGAATCCGGTGAAATTATCACTGACAAATTCAACTAACACTACTCAGACAATTTGCATAGACTTTTCAACACACTTCATTAACGGAAGTTACAATGAATTTGTTTACATTTTAATATTTATATACAGCAACGTCAGCTATATAGAAGCAGCATTACTTACACCACATTTAGGAAAACATGCTACTAGTGTCAAACTTTAAAACGGATATGCTTTCGCGAATAACTTTAAGAATTTACATAAATATATTTTACAGCACACACATTAACACACGTTCTGTCGTATACTTAAAGGAAATATACATCATTTGCTTTTGCTGTAATTTTCAGAAATGGATGGAATTGGGGGGGGGGGTTGGAAATATATAGCAAATATAGTTACACTGACTTTTTTGAGGTTTTGGGTTCGAAAATAACAGTATACCAGGTGCCATGATTTTACAGGATGCTTTACACTGTCTTTCACTAAAAGTCCAGCAAGGTATTTCAAATTGATTTGGTAGTTTCATTTTTTGATGTTTGCAAATGTTGTATTTTCCCTTTAAAGAGTTCAAACACGAGCTGGGTTAATGTTGATGTAATTATTCCCATTGTATGGTAAGTTGCCTCCATAAGCCAGTAATGATATTTATTGTCTATTCACCGACGATATAGAAAACGTTGTACCAAACTTAAAAGAGCCCAAATGTCAACTAAAACTTACATATAATAACTCTGTTTTCACTTGTTTCACTTGTATATTCTTTCCTGTTAAGTACCATGGGCGAGCCAATCAATTAAAGGGAATATACATCATTTGCTTTTGCTGTAATTTTCAAAAATGGATGGAATTGGGGGGTTGGAAATATATAGCAAATATAGTTACACTGACTTTTTTGAGGTTTTGGGTTCAAAAATGCTATAAAAACCAAGAAAAACAATCATTTTCCTGTAGTCTGGTTCCCTGACTCCATTTAAGAAGAAACAGAGCAGTTTACATACATTGGGGAATTGTAAGGTCAGGGAACCAGTCTAGCTGGCTTGTACCCGTTCATAGGTGTGTAATCGATTGCAAACAAGTGCGATGGTCAATTGGGGCCAGTATTTGAAAAAAAGCCAGTTTTTTCCAACACTGGTCGGCCGGTCAGCGTTGGAAATTGATACAAAAATACCGCTTTTCTTGAAAATGACAGTATACCAGGTGCCATGATTTTACAGGATGCTTTACACTGTCATTCACTAGCAGTCCAGCAAGGTTTTTAAAATGATTTGGTAGTTTTATTTTTTGATGTTTGCAAATGTTGTATTTTCCCTTTAAGTACCATGGGCGAGCCAATCAATTAAGTGGCCGCATGATGTTAATCCAACACTGCACAATTTAAGCTACAGGAGCCCCACGTTATGACAGTCTTATTACTACAAGGCTTATTTAAAGATGCGTTTCCCGTGCTAGTATTGAGTTTTGCCTCGAAAAATAGATAATCCAAGGTATTCACATTTGAATGAGGCATCGAACGACAAATCCAGCTGCGTTTAATTATTGAAATATTTCTTCCCAAAAATCGAACGGCTCCCGGACAATAATTCGACTCTCGCAGGGCGGGTTCATTTGTGCCCGAAAAAGGAAAACCTTTTTTTCAAAGGGTTGCAGATGCCCAAAATTGAAATGAAGTATTTTTACGTTAAAACGAAACATACAAATTAAAACATTCGTAAGGAGAAAAAAGTTAATTTTTTTTAGGAGCACGGAGTATTAACTTTAAGAGGAGCCCTTGTATCTTTACTTAAATAACTTTTGGTCAGTTATAAGAGAGTCTGGCAGCTTTAGCCTCGGTTACATATTATTGTAATTTCAGCCGAACAATGAACATTTTACTCCTTGTAATTCCATCGCAGTTAGTTATTGTAACAAAAGTACATTTCATTAGTTCAAATTGACAAAACAGCCAACAAGTCAAATATTCATGTTAAATCAATAGTGATTTCTGTCTGTTGAAAACAATTTCAAATGAATAAAAAAACATTTGAAAATTGTCTTGTTACTATTCTTTCCAAAACAATCTTTTAAAACTGTATGAAACATAACTTCTTTAGTATGAACAGTCATAGATTATATTTAAAACTATTTTTTGACAGCGAGGTTGCGATTCAATTGATGATTGAATTCATGATATGTGATTGTCACGAGTGAAGCACGCTGAGGGGGGGGGGGGGGGGGGGTGTAGCCTGGTTCCGGAAATATTTCAGAAGCTACGGGCCAACGAATTCGCGTTCACACTGATTGTTGGTTGGGATGACACTGACCATAACCAATGTACATGTAATTTAGTGTTTTGAGTTAAAAAAAAAATCAGATTTTTTACCCCAGTGACCCCATGATGACCTTTGACCCGAGTTTGGTCATGTGACAAAACTACTGGGCTACTGCTACTATTGACAAAGTTTGGTTGAAATCGGTCAAAATATGTAGGATGTTATAGACAATGTTGAACGTTTTTACTAGCTAACTAACAGACTAACAGAGCACTATGGTGATTTGTTGAGCTGCTATTTCGCAGCTAAAAAACAGAACATGCATAGCATACGGTAACAAAACTCTGCCCCCGTCCGAGTGCATTATCCAGGCACAAAATGGACATTGCCTACTGGACATTACGCGTTGAAGTTTGTAAATGTGAGCCTTGGTTTGATAAACTCATAACTTTAGGACTAGTTGATAGCACGCATGGGTATTTTGTTGGTTAACATAAAACAATATTATATACCCTTAAATTTCCAAGCTATCACAAAAATATCCGAGTGTCAACGAAAAGTATGCAAAACAATTTCGACATTTTCTGAAAAGGGGCAGGATCCTCACCGTTTGCGGTGATTTTATCTGCATGCAGCACACATCTTCAATGGTCATGAATATTCAGCTAGTGCGATATTTGTATATTCATAAGAAAATAACAATGACGTCACACCATTGATATCACTCAGTCATGCATGTACATTAAAGCATTTCAACGAACGGCTTTCGTCGAGCTGCCACAGTGGCCTAGTGGATAGTGAAATGAACTACAGATCGCAAGATCTGTGGTTCGAACCCATGTCCATTTTCATCTCATATTTGTGTTGGTTGGGCTAACTTTAATTGGAGGGAAAACACAACGAGGACGTAAGTGTCTACCAACCACACAGAGTGATAAATCATGTTAAGGTGCGTGATGTGATTAGTTAAAATACGATGTATGCTGCCAAAAAAAATACGCTCCCCGTTTTGGTCGCGTGTTGTGGCACCTACCTGACATAAGCTTCGTACACAAATAGTCAGTTCTTTTGGACTGGGAACCAGACTAAAAGGTTTAAAGATTTGAAAATTATACTTAGGTTTAGAGTCATTTTTGACGTGTGCATCTTAACCCACTTCATGCTAAATACGTGGCAACCATACAGGCATTGCGTAGGTTATTATTCAGTAAGTTTATATAACAAAATTATATACACAACACAATTATCACAGTTACAGAAATTTGTCAAACATTTTTCACCTCGTGGGTCTTTCCAATGATACCATTTACACAATGTCAGCCATGTCTGGTCTCTATTGTCTGCTGTTGATTTTTGTGAAGGTTTTATTCAGTACTTGTTTCATCTGTTGGATGGAACTTCGTCTCCGAGTTTGTTTGCTGCCCTCCATAGCCTTACGTCTCCGAACCTCGCGGAAGAGTTCGTGGAAAGCCTCTTCGATATTGTCATCACCCCTACACGCAGACAGCTCATAAAACGCACACGCTAACTCTTGCGACAGACGCTCGCCCTCATCGGTGGATACCGTGCGCATATGATCTAAATCACATTTGTTGGCAATAATCACCATGGAGACGTTCCTTGCCTTTTTGATTTCGTCCAAGTAGTTCTTAATTGTGATGATATCCTCGTAGCTTTTTCTGTCTGTGACGCTGTACATGAGTAGAAATCCTTCTCCCCATCTCACGTGACCTTCTCTGTTGATAGTGTCCTCCTGAAAAAAAAGAGGGAGACAAACTAAGATTCTCATAAGAAGTGTCAACATCCTGTGTCATCAATGATGATGAGGATTGGGAATAAGTTCGCGATTGTCGCTGCGTCAAGTCAAAATAATCATCTGCTACCTTATAGTAATTATTGTTTATTTTGAGTTTTAGCCATGACAGACACTGTGAATAATTTATTCAGGATTTGTGATAACACAAATGGAGGCTTTTCCCATAAATGTGTATCAGTTTTCCTTGCATCTGTACACTGCAAAAACAGTAGTGTTAATTCAACACCATTCGGTATCTATATAGGACAACACCAGTAAAATTTAACACCAGATGGTCCTATATAGATACCAACAGTGTAAATTTAACACTGCAGTTTTTGCAGTGTAGACACAGCTTATACCTGATCAATTCATTTATGTCCATCTCTTGACCAATATAAGAACAATTATAAAACTGTAAAAAAAAAACGTAGTTTCCGAGAACAAAAACATCGACAGAACAAAGTGCCTGGGTCTGACAAAAAGTGTGTTCAATCTCACTAAAAAAACATTGAAGGAAGTAAGACTTTAATAACTGAGACTTGAAATGTTAATCGTCGTAGTAACTTCAGTGATGATAGGCCTGTGTGTCTGGTATATTCAAACACGCTGTGGTTATTTCAACATGCCAAAAATTAGATGAAAAAGAGTACAGTTGTAGAGCATGTTATTTGACTCACTTCAAGCAGAGCGAGCTAGACACGAAAAACCTGTGAAATGGCACTCAGCCGAGTGGAGAATAGACAGAACAAGGTTCAATGAACAGTCCCCAAAGATTCCATCATTAACTTCGGTTGAAGAATCCTTATGTGTACCGACAGAACTACCTCGGCCCATTTGTTGACTAGCAATGCGGATGTAATTTCAATACGTGCGTTGAGTGTTCACAATACATCATTACGCTAAAATATTTGAGTATTCAGTGATAAAAAAAAGGCTTATTGACCTGAAAACACAGGATGACGCCATGAACGGACCCGGAGAATTTCTTATTGAATTTAACTGCATACTTTAGGTGATACACTTTTTCATGAGGGATTGGTGGTCCTAGTGACACGTATCAAATCAAGCCTCGCTAAGCACAATTCCCGTGGGTCAGACATTTTGTCGCGCCTCATCTTCTCTGAAGAAACCCCAGGAACTTGTAGTTCTTCAAATAACCCACTGATTGTTATACACAAAATGTTTGTTTTCACAACTCTGTTCTGCCAAAGGAAACGGGCTTAGCGTCCCTAGTGTAGGTATAAACACTGTCAAGCCCATTTAGTTAGGTCTCAGTCTGACACAAAAGGAGAAGTCAGAAACGGTCAATGCAAAACAAAGTGCTCTAGATTGCAGGTACAGAGATCCACGATTTCAAGCAAAATTCACCAGTCCCAGACAAATTTGAGGAAAGGTATTAGGCGAGTTCGATTTCAAATTATGGAACAAATAAGCTCACTTAATTGTCTACAGTCTTTCAAAATATCATGAAGCGTTGTAGTCCTTTATTCAATCGCAATGAGATTTCGACAACTGAGAAGGCACGTGTAAAAAAAAACACGATTTATCCTTATGTAAAACTTGGTAATTCGCGATGTAAAATTAACATAAAGGCCAAGACGTAACGTGTTGCTCGTATAATTGGTGTTTTACAGAAAGCGAGACAGGGGTTTTAAGCCTGTCCCCTCCTCCGCCATACGCCGAGTGACTGAATGAACCTCACTAATCTCTCATACTAAAGCGTCTTAAGACCAGCTTTATTCTAACCTAATGTAGCGGATGAAGCCCTCGGCCACGTCTTAATGACTGTCTTTACAGCTAAGAACCAGAGGGTAATGTCCTGTGTAAAGTCAGGATTAAAAAAACTGCCAACAACTCAGATGATGACCAACCTAGCGTGTCAATTTAAACACCGACTGAGCCGAAGCCTTTTCCTTTTGTAAAAAGAGACCCATCGCAGGAAACCTGGCTGGGAAATGATCCACTGAATCGTCAACAAAAATCCGGGCGGTACAGGAAAGAAAAGATTGACAAAACGACGCACTATAGAGAGCCAGGATTGACAGAAAGTATGACAGAATGCGAACAACACACAGGAAAGTAACAAAGTAAGCCTTCCGTGTAACAGCGATAAACCTCCCTGGAATACCAACCTGATGCCCAGCAGTATCCAAGATCTCCATAGATGCAGTCTCGTCGTCAATAATCGTTTGATGACGATACGTAAATTCTGCATCAACATAAAAACAAAATGCTATTAGACATACATATGCACTCTAGAGCTTACACAAAATCGAATGCATCAATTAAAGGGAATATACATCATTTGCTTTTGCTGTAATTTTCAGAAATGGGTGGAATTGGGGGGTCGGAAATATAAAGCAAATATAGTTACACTAACTTTTTGGAGGTTTTGGGTTCGAAAATGCTATAAAAACCAAGAAAAATGATCATTTTCCTGTAGTCTGGTTCCCTGACTCCATATAAGAAGAAACAGAGCAGTTTACATACATTGGGGGAATTGTAAGGTCAGGGAACCAGTCTAGCTGGCTCGTACCCGTTTATAGGTTTGTAATCGATTGCAAACAAGTGCAATGGTCAATTGGGGCCAGTATTTGATAAAAAGCCAGTTGTTTCCAACGCTGATCGGCCGATCAGCGTTGGAAATTGATACAAAAATACCACTTTTCTTGAAAATGACAGTATACCAGGTGCCATAATTTTACAGGATGCTTTAGACTGTCATTTACCAACATCCTGTTAAGGTATTTCGCAAAAACTTGATAGTTTTATTTTTCGTTGTTTGCAAATGTTGTATATTCCCTTTAACCTTTGTAGGGCGAATGTCATCAACCTGCGTCTTAATCCATCTACTGTCTACACTTTATGTTTTATGCAATCTGACGGTTTGGCATCTCGTAAGAGCGACCCAAAGTCCCCGAGTTACACACTGTGCTCATGACTATAGATGGACTTAAGACACATCCTATATGCATAGTCACTAATGGGCTTTCCGTGGCCTTAATACAGTCATTACCACTGCAGTCACTTTGCAATATAAAATTCATCATTTCTACACTTCGTTCCCTGCTCTGACGCACAGGCCTATATCGTCAGATCCCGTCCTTTTTTGTTTAAACAACAAAGGACTGGATTTTACGATACAGTGCCTACTTCAGATCGGGAAAAGAAGTTCAGAAATGATGAATTATTAGTTTGACAGAACGAATCAACTTACCCAATGTCGGGTCGTATTCCCAGATGAAACGTCGCGTTAAAAACCGCACCACAGTGGCTGAAACAACGAATAAGATTTCAATGTATGATTAAAACCAATGAAGTATGGAAAAAAACAAGCTAGAGTAATCTGAATACGCATATACAGGGTGAGTAAAAAAAGAAGAAACCCAAACGTCGTGACCATTTTTTTGTAGTGAAGTTCTGCATGTAGCACTTTCAAAATCTAAGATAATGACAGCCCAATCTATAAGCTTTCTTTTAGTATACAAGATTCACTGAAATCATTTATATTCTTTTCAAGTTTCGGAATTTTAAACACAACCACCGTTTTGAAATTCTGTCCACGGATTACCAAAAACTGTTCTTTCAGCAAAACGAAAACGATTCACATATAGATGTTTGTGAATTATTTTCGTTTTCTTCAAAACGGTGTTTGTCTAACTTGAAAAGTACACGAGTGATTGAATGTTTATTGCACTAAAAGAAAGCTTATGAATTGGGCTTTCATATCCTAGATTTTGAAAGTGCTACATGCAGAACTTCACTAAAACAAATGGTCCCGAAATCAAGTGCGGATCCAGAACACAATTTTTTGGGGGCCCCCAAAAAATTGGTCCCCCCAAAAAAGTGGGTCGAAAAAATTACGGCGTGGGGTTCGGGGCCCGCTTAAGGGCCCCGAAAAATTGTTGGATTCTAGATGCTCTGTGGTGTGATCTGAGGCAATTTCTGACCACTTTAACCAATGTTTTTTTGAGGAAAAGATGGTGGTGTACTGCCTTTATTGCGATGTCACATAAAAAAAAAAAATTGGTTTCGTTTTTTTTTGGGGGGGGGGGGGCATGGCCCCCTTTGCCCCCCCCCCCTGGATCCGCCCTTGCCCGAAATGTGGGTTTCGCTAATTGTTTTTACTCACTCTGTAGTTTCGCCAAAAGTAAAGAAACTTTGATGACTCAAATGTGCGCCTTATTTTCATATTAAAAATGAATCCAGGCAGTGCAAAGAGAGTCGGAAACGGAAGGGTATGGTAATGTAGAAAAACAACACATGCATGATGATAATTTAGCGTGTCATATTTCAGTAATAAGAACTGATTTGTTTATTACCGACAGTTTTTTTCTACAAATATAATTCCACTATGAAACCGATCTGTCGAAGATCTAATGAAATAATGTCGTATCTATATACCATGGCGATTTACGATATAAACTGTTGAAGAAGATGAGTACAGTTTTGTTTATTTGGTTGGATAAATTACACTGTTTGAGGATTGTCTTCCTACGGCAACATTTTTTCTAAGACACTTTGCTGGACGGTATATACGCGAGCGCGTATCTTACGCCAAGATAGCAACTAAGTCTCGAAGGTATACGTGCACAAACACGCGTTCCATCCTCTATGATGCGCATTCCTATAGATGTTTATTGACCTAGTGTGCTTCTTAATTCGTCACAATAGATGAAGTGATTCAAGCAGTTATTGAATTACAAAATGCTGTGTAACAAATCTAGCACTCGGTCAACGTCTAGACTGATGACTGATAAATGGCTGTTTTCTTGAGTAATAACATCTTGAGCTGTCCGTTTGTAGTAAGGTCAGCATATATAAGATTCCTCAAGCATCTTACATGTCATACACATGTCTTGCTTGTTCTATCACCTCGCGTAGCTATGCATGGCGTTCCCTTCACACACTCTGGGTCGCCTCGGTTTCTCCATCCAATGCAAAACTATTTTAATTAGAGTAAACCATCACTATGATGAACTGTCACACAATTCATATGGATGTTTCTTTGATACTACATTCATCGCAACTGAAGTTCGCTGATTGCTGAGTGATAATTCCGACATGATGTTCCATTTTGTTCTGTTCTCTTTAATCCTCTGCCCTAGTTTCACCGTTGTAAAGTAGTCCCAGTCCGCATACCAGACTCAATTCAAGTAACAAGGTTTAGTACCCAGCCAACTATGATCCAATTTCTCCGGCATAGGAGCAATAAAACTCGACAAATCGAGTCCGACATGTCAATTACCTAGATACTCCGCTCCTCCGCGTCTATATCAAACTTAAACGCCACATGGCAATTTCCTTGTGTTGTTTTTGATAACCGACGCATCAAAATACAGAACGTCTTGTCGGAAGAATTTGGAATGTGGTCATAAGCTTGCCAGAAGCGCTGGTTGTTGCATTTATAAAATGGATGAATAATAAACAGAACATCAGGTTGGGTATTTGTCTGTCAAGTTCGTAGCAGCAGGATTCCCTTGACATATAGACGGCTATCTTATAACCGTTCCAATTACAATCTAATCAAATCAGTGAAATCTAATTTTTGTCATGGTATGGTACGGTTGTCTAGTAATATTTTGGAGCATTAATCATATCCGAAAATAGGACGGTGAAATTTACTCTCCCGGTGATCAGGAACTAAACTAGTGAAATGAATCCGAGAAACTCAATATTGGGGCTCATATCATGTAGTCGGTTCACACACAAGACAATGTTTAGACAGCAAGCATAACATAGTTGCACGCACTGCCCTGTATATTCACCTGTACGAATGGTATGGCGCATGCTGTGCGAGCAGTGTACACGCGTGAAAATACGAAGCGACCACAAACTGTGAGCTGAAATCTGTCATTCACAGTGCTGTTGACCAGATCAACAGGAAATCTAGCTGCCTGGCGAGTTGACTTGCTCGCTAGTGCTAGTGTGAATATGTTTTTCTTTGCATGTCAATATTTCATCAAATAATAATAATAATAATAATGGATATTTATTAAACGCGAAATATCCACCAAAAGTGCTCAAGGCGCTAATACATAATCAAGATCAGGTACTCAAGCTTGGATCTTAATAAACACAACTTTAAATTTGTGGAAAACTCTGCTTAGAATTTTAAGTCAACAAGGGTATTGTCTGAAAATATTGTGTTTGAAAATAATCCATTATAATATTTGAAAATGACTTCTTGCAATCGAAAATAAACTCTTGAATTGGCAAGACATGAGTTTAAAGTGCAATATTTAACATGGCGCGCATAAGTGACATTTATTCAAGTTAAAGCGGTAGCTTTTGATTATTTCAAGATATCTCTAATTATTTCAAGATATCTCTATTTATTTCTAGATGTCTCTAATTATTTCAAGATATTTATTATAATAACGCATTTTGACATTTTAAGAGCCTTTGAGTGATGATTTCGAGATATCTTGAAATCCATATCAAGATGTCTCTTAATACATTTGAAGATATCTCGAAATCGTTTCCGCTTCCGTGTCACATCATCGTTTACGGCCGCCCTCGCACGATCTCTGAGAAGGTCCGCCATTTTCCCCCGAGTTCTCGCCAATCAGCCGTAACACTGATCCCGTGATTCCATTTTGACCCTGACATGACATGACACTGGCGAAAACGGAAACGATTTCATGATATCTTGAAATAGACTTCGAAATATCTTGAAATTGATTTTAAGATTTCTTGAAATGGATTTCAAGATATCTTGAAATGGTTTTCGAGATATCTTAAAATGGTTTTCGAGATATCTTGAGATGGATTTCAAGATACCTCGAAATGATTTGGAGATATCTTGAAGTCGACTTGGAGATATCTTGAAGTCGATTTGGAGATATATTCAAATGATTTGGAGATATCATTACATAATTTAGAGATATCTTTAAATGATTTCAAGATATCTCTAACTTCGCGACATCTCAAAATCGATTTAGAGATATCTCTTAATCATTCGAGATATCTTGAAATAATTAAAAGCAACCGCTTTAACTTGTCACTTATGTGCGCCATGATTTAAGTTACATAGGCCTTCAAGACATTCTATGAAATCACGAGAATTCCTGTCATTTTCACATGAATTTCAAGACTAAATTAAACTAGCTGAAAGAATTTCACTAAATATATCAACCGCAGAAAATGGTACTGATTTCAAAGTGTTTTCAGTGCCATGACGACCTCGAGTAAAACATAAATAGGAAATAATCCTTCCCATATGTCAAGCATGAAACCATGCAACTTGTACACCATTTGCCGGGAAATGCACGACATGTTTCAGGTGTTTTGAAGCAGCCAACGCCATGTACATCTCATATTTTGATAACCCACACTGACCCTTGAGGCAACATGTCCAAATATTTGGATCAATACCATTCGGGAAGCACGTCTCGTGTTTTCAGCAAATAATGTCGGCCGGTTCCGGCAATGTAAAGTCTAGAGAATCAATACATAAGTCCCTTCTGACAATCGCAACTTGGAACATAAAATGTTTCCAAACAATATGTGGTTTTATGTTCTAGTGTTTGCTGCATCATGTTCAAAGTGTGCACGGGATTGACAACTCTTAAATTTCAAGACTATAGCAAACAAAAATACGAAGCTGACTTTTTATTCAGATCGAATTGTCGTACTAGATGCAAAATCCTATATGGAGAACAGGCATTGGTTGTAAGTGAGAAATGCCTGCGCCTTAGGCCTCCCTGGATCACAATCATAAGCCAATTTCATAGAGCTGCTTAAGCACAAAATTTGCTTAAGCACAACAAAATCTTGCTTAATATAATCAGGGTACCGGCCAAAACTCCACTCGATTGTTATGCTAAGTAAACAACAGCTAAATACCAGTCACAAGCAATGTACATCGCATGGAGTTTTGGCGGGTTACGTGATTTTACTAAGCAATGTTTTTTCGTGCTTAAGTAAATTTTGTGCTTAAGCAGCTCTATGAAATTGGGCCATGATGTGTACTGTACATGGCGAGTCAAAAAGAAAAAAAAAACGAAACCCAAATGGCAGGACCAATTCCTGAATGAAGTTTTGCCTGTAGCACTTTTAAAATCTAGGATATGAAAGCCCAATCAATAAGATTTGTTTTAATACAAGAATCATTCAAATCACTCATGTACTTTTCAAGTTAGGAATTTTGAACACAAAAACCGTTTTAAAATTCTGTCCACGGATCACAAAAAAAGGTAAGTGTTCTTTCAGCGCGACGAAAACAATTCCCCTGTGTGTGATTTGATTTCGTTTTGCTAAAAGAACACTGACTTTTTTTGGTCCTGCCATTTGGGTTTCGCTTTTTGTTTACTCAACCAGTACCTACAGGAGAATTCGAGCTAAAATAACGATTAAACTGTTTCAATTTGTTAAAAGAGGCGAATGCAATGTAGGCCTGCAGCATATTTCTTTCGGATATTATCTACACGACTCACACAGACTACATACGTACGTACATGATGTAGTTCATTAAAAGCTTTAATTATGTTCACATTCCAAGGAATTGGCGGCCGATGTGATACCAATGTAGACCGTCTGAGAATGTGGAAACACTGCAAGGAGGTCATGCCGCACGCCTGACCCGCCACTTCTTATATTTGATTCCAATTGAGTTAAGATGCTAATTATTTCTGACCAGAGGACCCCCGGTGGGTGTAACTCAAGAAGCGGTATTTGCCTGTTTTCGTGGATTCTGCTACTAAGCCTAAGGCCAAGTAGTCTACTTGGTGCACTTACCAACATACCAGTTAGGCCCTACGGATCTATACCGCATCATGTATGCACACTTTCATATAGTTCCAGACCAATGACCCAATGGAAGCAATAGGCCATCAGCCTCGGTCCAAAATTTTGGTAACCGGTATCAAATGAGGGGAATAATCGTCATAGCGATTTTTGGCAAGGTATACACCTCTAGAGTTGGAAAATATGTGATAGCATTGCAGCGGTGGCAGCTTTTTAGGTGTTATCACCCTTTTTTCAAAATGTCCATCAAAATGTTTGTTACCACTCTAGGGGCGGTATACCTTGCGCATGCGCACTTTAATCATTTATGCCTTGATTTGATACTGACCAAAGCTGATGGCCTACAACAAGAATTTGTATCTGTATCCTTGCATGTATCTTTAGCATGAAATATTACCCTCAAGTCTGCGTTTTCATAAACGTATCGACGTATCGAAGTAATACAATAAGTTAATATTCCCCGGGGACCATGCATAAAGTCATCTCAGCAAGGACGTATCGCCCGATGCATTTGCATCATTGTCTCGTAGGGTACCCATATGGCATATCACCTATAGTCACACCTCTCCATTACTATCACACGGACTGCGCGCTACATAGTTATCACGAGAGGTACTGAACGTACTTGAATATTACCTGAGGCTATCATTTATTTATATCATTTAGAATATCAAACACTGGCACAGAGATTCTGAAAGTACATGTAAAAACGTAGTTCTGAAATGGGCCCTTATTAAACTCGGTGCACATAGGATTCTCATAACCGCTCACAAGATGACCTAGCGCGGTGGTGTGAGGTGATAGTAGTGAATTATTCAATAAGATTGAAATACAAAATCTAAAGGGAAAGTGTTACAACGATAAATGGCTGAAACTACATCATTGCGTGTTAGTTGTCAGATGATTTAGTTAAATTGTATTTGTGAGTTTGAGGAAAGTTGAGAATTCAGTCCAACCCTTGAACTAACCGTCCATTTACCGAGTCACGATCCTCTAGCTGTTGTCATGGTTTTATGTTAAAACTGCAGTATTCATCTTCGCCATTCCTTGAAAATATACTTTTGTTTCCCATTTACCCTTATTTTCAATTCCCGTTTTGCCATTTTTAAGGGTATTTTCATGGTGCCTTTTTTGTTTTTATGCTAATGGCAATTTCCATATTCAGGAGCAAAACCTGTGATGTCATTCCGTGGTAGAAACCTCTATGCTACAGCCCCCTCAGCACACACGCAAATTACTAGAATTTTGGGTATTTTGATGTCGTCAGTTCTCTTTTATTTGGTGATTCGTTCTTGTGTCAGTGCAGTAAGCCAATCAGCAAACCTTTCTCCCAAATGTTTTCAACGAGAACATTTTGGGTTCAAAATTTGAACAGAAAACCCCTTAAATGAACAGTATCTTCCTGAAATGATATCACAGCCGAAAGCTGAAAAAGCTTGGAAATTTTTTTAATGTTTAAAAAAGTGGACTTTTCAATAAAGTAACACAAAAGTAACACAGTTGTCTGGAAAAGCTTGGAATTTTTTTAATGTTTAAAAAAGTGGACTTTTCAATAAAAGTAACAAAAAAGAGATGTCAAATAGTTTTCATAAATTTCAGAGGTGTAGAAAATTGCACAAAATGTTTTCTTATAAGAATATTTAATCGCATGGACCATTTAACTATTTCAACTCACCTGACTTGCCCACTCCTGGCCGACCAAGTACTACTATCTTCGTATCCACCCCCTTGGAGGGAGTATTAGCGCGACTCATGCTTGGCGCGTTGTGATCAAAACGTTGAGATCTGCTGCTATTGCTAACCACTGTTGAAATGTCGGATCTCAGTCAATCTGAGGAATCAGAAGAAATCACGGATAAGCCTTAAATCTCTTTCATTCAAATTCAGTCATTTACGCAACTCGCTGCCAACAACTCATAGTAATATTATTCTTCGACGCGTCTGTTTGTCGTGGTTTTTTTATGTAGCACTAGCAATTTTAATGACTGCTTAGTCACGCGTAATCAACTGCAAATCCCTCATTACTCGGACGACCACTCATATCTATAGCTTTTGCCGCTATTACACCGACGATCATTGATAACTCTCAGTATATGATCCATGCTAACATCTTTTTATAGCTCATTGATGATACATACCTGCATGCGGCACACGTACATACCTGTACATTCACGCACGTAATACACTTGTAAATAACAGCGGTGTATAACCATTTCAATATTCTATAGCTGAGAAGTCACCTTGAGATACACAGCATCCATAGTCAGGCAAGACAAGTGACTTGATGAACAGCTGGAGGGAGTCGGACTTGTTCATATGAGACCGAGCAAAACAGAAAGTTGATTCCAACCAACAGACTTTCACGTCCACTAAGACTGATTCGCTTGCCGTATTGATTCGCCCACTTCTCTCTCGACCTCCTCCTCCGTGACTTTCACGTGTTGGGGAATTTCAATTGAAACTTGGCCTCGCAACGGTGCACGGTCCTGCAGACAGCATGATCATGTAACCTACTCGATGACAACTTATCTGCCTGGCTTTGTTCAGCGATCTGGCTGCAAATATTTGTATTAATCTTGGGTTTTATTTGATTGCAAGGCTTACACGGTCGAGCTCCCCGTAGAATGACAGGCCTTGGTCAAGGCACCGTACTGCACTGAAGATTGGATGACTCTGTTGCCAAATTCCTGAAACCACGGGGAGTATGTCTCATGGATAGATCCGTGAAAGCTGCTCGATTTCAAAATCAACAACTCAAACTTCTGCAGCTTCCGTCATATATACAGTACACTGCGGCAATAGACCATTATCATGTTGCGGCCATCGTGATGTTTCCCATTCAAATCAATGTAACCAAAGCGAGGCTGGAAGGAAAAAAAGTCTGGCTCCTTTTTGCATTGAAATAAATATCATTCAGTATACTGGGTACAGGAAATATGACTGCAATTGATGCAGCATGATAGAGGTCTATTGTCTTCCACTGTTAAAGGTCTTTTATAAATGAAAAGATGTTGCATGAATCCACATGTGAATACACATGTAAAAAATGGGACTATTACAATTGAAATACACGTTGATTTCAACTTGACCTACTACGCATGCGCGCAAGTCACAGGGTGATTGGAGATAAAGAGCTTATAGTGATATCAGTTCTGCGCATGCGTTTAGAGCAGTCACTGCTTTGCACATTGTACATATCTCTGTGATGTTAGAGATAGCTACGAGATCATGTGATCCCTGAATCTGTATTCAGAAACCATTCCTAACATTCAAAGTTGTTATTATCCCTCTCGGCATGTGGCTGATACAAAGAACAATTATTATCTCGACTTGCTTCTCTCTGTTGAAACTAAAAATAGTCCAAGGATTACCGGCACTTGTTTGGGTTTTTCTATTTTTAGATGTCCTCTTTTTAGACCACTTTCGTGGAAGACAATAATAACTCATAATATTGTGCAGTGGTCAGCGTATGTGGCCGTTGGCATAACGTGACATTGACATCAATTTTCTGTTATCAATCAAAACATTTCACCTTTGCTATATAAACAGGTTCACCTACTTCAGCACCTCATTGTAGTGAATATTATACAAATATTGAATGCTTCGAGTGGTGTAGTAAAACTAGCCTCCCGAGGTGATCCATGGACATTCTATTTTCCCGAGGCGAAGCCGAGGGAAAATAGAATGCTCCATGGATCACCGAGGGAGGCTAGTTTTACTTCACCACGAGATAAAACATTCAATATTTGTTTTATAACACTTCACCCACAGATTCTGCTTGGTTTTAATATTTTAAATTATTTAAATCTGAACACAGTTGAAGTAAACTTCCATTTCAATACAAAATTGGTGGAAAATGTATTTCTCTCTTCCGAACTACCCCTTCGCGAAATGTTTGAACCCAACTCTGTGGCGCGCTCTTTTTTGAACAAAACGTGCTACGCCCAACGCGCAACGCGCACACCAGCATGCATTTGCACACAAATACCGCGCCGTGGAAATAGTACTTTGGTTGCTAATGGTATAGTACTTTGGTTGCTACGGGTAAAGTGCTTTTGGCCGTACACAGAAAGATAGCAAAAATAGAAAGTATCATGTGACTCGCTCTCGGCCAATCAAGACACAGAATCTGTGGATGAGGTGTTATGATTTACGTTACAATGGTAGGATAAAATGAATCTAAATGCAAGTCTCTGGAACTTCTTCGAAGCTTCGACGATATTTACGTATGCATGCCACCGACATTATCATCCTAATGAAGCGTCAACGTCAACCAACCTGACCAAATTGACTCCATTAACAAATAAATGATAAAAAAGGACATGCAGAAATTATAGAAGCAATGAACCAAATTCCTTAAAAAACCCACTCTCTTATATGTATCCAATATTCTTTCCCCATTCCTTTTAGTCGAAGTCTTCTTTTCGAAGCCAATCTGTACTTTCCTGAGTTCAAAATCCCTTCGATCGTATTTTATCATATCTTCCTATCTCGGGGGGACTTCAAAATAAAACCAAATGCGTTCCCGCGGAACTAACACGATAAAAACAAAACCATCACTTCAAACAAAATGTCTGCCTGCAGGTACACTGACGTTGTCTACAGGCGTGATATTGACGTTAAGTTACAGGAAGATTACTCAGTTAATCATGCATGAATCACGTCTATGCTATCCTTACCTCGTCGCTTGCTCTCGTTGGTACTTAAAGGGAAGATACAACATTTGCAAACATCAAAAAACGAAATGATCAAATTATCACGAAATATCTTACTGGATTGTTAGGGAATGACAGTCTAAAGCATCCTGTAAAATCGTGGCTCCTGGTGTGCTGACATTTTCAAGAAAACTTGTATTTTTCCAACACTGGTCGGCCGACCATCGTTGGAGAAAACTGGTTTTTTTTTTCCCCTCCAAAAACTGCTTCTAGTTTATGTAGTCATTAAGCACTTTCTTTGCAATTGATTACACATCTTTAAAGGGGTACACGCCTGCTAGACTGATCCCCAAAGTCAATAAATTGCAACGTCTCATCTTATTGTGGGGCCAGGGAAGACCACAAGACTATAGTTGGGGTTTCTAAGATTTTTCAGCATCTCCGAACCCAAAACATGAAACAAGCTAGTTCAATAATATTTTTTATCGCACAGTAATCCTCCGAATCCATTTATTTCTGAAAAAATTGCAGCAAAACCAAATGATGTATATTCCCTTTAAGTTACAAGAAGCCTACTCAGTTAATCATGCATGAATCCCGTCTATGCCCCCGTTGGTACTTAAAGGGAAAATACAACATTTGCAAACATCAAAAAATAAAACTACCAAATCATTTTGAAATACCTTGCTGGACTGTTAGTGAATGACAGTGTAAAGCATCCTGTAAAATCATGGCACCTGGTATACTGTCATTTTCAAAAAAAGTGGTATTTTTGTATCAATTTCCAACGCTGATCGGCCGATCAGCGTTGGAAAAAAACTGGCTTTTTTTTCAAATACTGGCCCCAGTTGACCATCGCACTTGTTTGCAATCGATTACACACCTATGAACGGGTACAAGCCAGCTAGACTGGGTCTCTGACCTTACAATTCCCCAATACATGTAAACTGCTCTGTTTCTTCTTAAATGGAGTCAGGGAACCAGACTACAGGAAAATGATTGTTTGTCTTGGTTTTTATAGCATTTTCAAACCCAAAACCTCAAAAAAAGTCAGTGTAACTATATTTGCTATATATTTCCTACCCCCCAATTCCATCCATTTCTGAAAATTACAGCAAAAGCAAATGATGTATATTCCCTTTAAGGTACCTCACCGATTCTTTATCAAGCATACATCTTTCTAATGAAATATTAAAACATTTCAGTCGAGTCTTGAAGTCCGTCTAGAAACCCGCCCGAAGTGCTCCCATGCTTTTTCCTGCCGTTTTATTAGCAATACTGCATGGAGAACAGTATCGAGGCAAGGAGACTTTAAGTGCGTCATTGGTAAGCAGCAGTGATCTCTAAGAGCTAGCGCTTTGTCTTTAGTATCCATTAAGTCTCCGTAATGTTCAGCGGCACTTTGGCCGTGTTCAGGATGAATGTATTCTGTATTATTTTTTGTCTGCTTAATTTAGATATTACCCAAGTTAGCAATATGTTATCGCGAAGCGGCACTTTGATCACCGAAAACATGTGTTTTTAAAAACATTTCAACAAGTTGATCGGCGTTGGGTCTAACTGAATATATAAGCTTTACAGTGGCTGACATGAACGCTCAAACGTAAATAAACATTTGATATTCAGCGTTCTGAGGATCATTTTAACCTTACTCAGCAAACCTTGCATTTTTGATAAAGGTCAACAAAAAGTCAACGACATTATGATTAAAATCATAGAACATTCACGAGCAGTAGACAATCATAGACTGCAATGATCAAAAACAATTGGCAGTGATTAAAAAGGAACGGTTACAAACATGGTGTTTTATATGCAGACATTTTTTCTATGTTTCCAAGTCCGAACATAATACATTCCCATATATATTGCTTCCTTGAAGAGACGGGCTCCGTGATTTTGTAGTCCACCGTCTGAGAATTGAGCTAGATGTGTTCTTGAATGAAGACAAACTACATGTTTGTTGAATGATGGAATCTCACCCAATGTCCCTCCAAATCTTGATATCAATGATTGTTTACCGGATCGTTTCATCATACAACAGGGCATCAAATCACCTTGCCACGGTGTGTATTATCTTACATGTCTGTTGGTGCAATTTAGGTGGTAAACCGCTATAGGCTCTTTGTATAGCACAACGTAAGCGTGAAATGGTTTAGACACATCTAATTAAAACTTCCAAGACAACATCAGTGTACGAGTTTGCGAAGGACAGCCTGAATTCTCTCATCGTATAGCACCAAGCAATTGAAGCTAATCGACAACACATATTGCACTTAATGTGAAACACCAACATTGAGAACTTCATTCTGCGATGCTTCGGAATTCGGACCAACATCGGACATTTTCATGGCAAGTCTCAACTATTGTAACTTTGCGATTGTCACATAAAAAAGCCGATATCGAATTTCAATTTGAATTATTTTGTATTCCACAACACATAACTGCCTGACCACTTACCAAACTAAAGAAGCAAACTAGAACCTCTCAGCTCCTATCGTGGAGTATCTTTGAAACAAAACTCGAGCTGTTGTTTACATCATCATTAGACTAAAACAGGCGTAGCCAAAAAAGCTCAAGGAGAAGTCTTCTCTGCCAAACTCCAACAACTAAACTATGAGACTGCTCTTTGAACATAAGATAATTCAGCGGTATTACGAGCTGCGTTTATATCGCCCGGACTGTACTAACACCTCGCACGGCAGTGACACAGCTTATATCATTCTCATCTTGTTCTCATTCTGATAAGGAAGTTAAGGCACACATGCGCAGTCAGGAAAACAGCCATGCACTGGTTGGACCAGGTTGGGTCACTGACATGATTGTGTAAGTAGTAGTGTGTACTCAATAGTACCATAGAGTAAGTATGTATTGATGTTAGGTGTGTTGTGTAGTTTGTTTGTTGGTTAAGTTGGGTGGTTGGTTGATATAGTCGGTGCATAGTCGGTGGGTCGGTCAGCTGATTGGTTGGTTGGTGGTGCGGTTGGTTGGTTGGTCGATCGGTCAGTCAGTCAGTTGGTTAGTTTGTCGTTTACGGTGGATTAATTAGTCGTTACGTACTTATTACGTGTTTACGTTTTATTACTGTGTAGGGCCTACTCGGTATTCTCGTCAGCAAACTTCGGTGTATAAGATATGGCATAAAAATGTAGC